ATGCAGCTTCAGCACGATTTAGCAGCAGTTAGCTCCTTCAGATGTTTGCAGCTACAGCTTAGGTAGGTGTTAGATTTCACAGCGAGCCTCTGCAAATCTAAAAGTGTGCCTGGCCTGTGTGAATAGTCTGGATCCTGCCCGCATTAATCCGTACATTTCATCATGTTACGCAACAATTCGTGGAGCGAATCAAAGTATGGCTTTGATGGCACACGTGCTGACCTATCAGAGCCGGTGACATGTCTTGGTGCCAGTGTAGAAGCTCTGCTTTGGGTGTGCGTGCGTGAGCGTGTTTCTGGTATTAGCTGCTGTGGATCAAAAGCTGTGGACAGCAGGGGAACGTTTGAGTTTTGTCAGTGTTTCCGTGCAGACAGCCGAGTGTTTAAAACTGCAGGTGAGGTCAGGCGGACCAGGGGAGCACTACAAATGCAATGGCATGCTGGGAAATCCAGCTGAAGGCAGCTGTTTTCCATATTTTAGGTGTTGACGAGGTGAAAAAGGGGGCGAGGTCTTTGGAAATACTAGTTCAGACAAGTGTGTGGAAGGAAGCGAAGTCCAAGCAGGAGAGGTGGTGAGCAGTTCAGTGTCAACATAAACAATCAGGAATTTACACGCTTACTTGCTGCATCCACAAACTAGCTTAGCTGTTTGCATTGTTCTGGCCAAGAGCTGCAAAGACTGTGCTGCTCACCACAGTGATGAATGACGAGATCACAGCGTGCTCGATCTCCTCAAAACAATCCAAAAGTTAAATATACTTGAACTTTGATTAGATTTACACCAGCTGTACACAAGCTGTGTGCGCTGGGCCTTTAATCAACGTGCACTTAGAGTCTGGAGGCAATTACTGGTTGATTTATGAAGTAGTAGCTCGTTTCTCATCGGCGCGGGAGTTCACCCTCGAGGTATATCCTTGCCAGCCCTGCTTGAACCTCATGCGTGTGGTTTCTGAAGGAAAGTCTACTGGTGCTGTCCAGGTTTCCACTGCGATCATCCAGGAAACCAGACTGATGCTAGCCGCTCCACAGTCTGTTTGGTGAGCTTGTACTCTCTTCTTCATGACTTTTGTGCACTGGCCCAGGTACGACATCACGTCCTCGACTCCTCGCTCCTTCACTGCACCCCACACCCTCTCATTCACTTCCTTCCCCTCACGTTCATTGCTCCACCCGCTGCCTCCTCTCACTGTAGATCACGATGTTGTTTTTGACGCCCACCTGACCTCATCCGTGAGTCGCTGAATCACAGCAGCATCACTGAGTCTTGTTTTTGGCGCATCCTTCACTACAGGACGTGTGGTAATCCACACTCACAGAAATGATGTCCCACTGTGTCAGAAACACTCTGTGCTCATTCATCAAAGAACCAATTCATAGTAACAATGAAACTGTTTCTGTCTTCAGCTCAGCTGCTTTGAAGCCATACAGTCTGTGGAGCAGTGTGCTGGCTGTGATGTGGTGCGTGTCGTAGCAGATGTGTGGGAGTCAGCTGATTACACTTGATCTCTTAAGTCTGTGTGATCAATTCTACCTGCGTGGAAATGTTGCTGTTCACCTGTAATTACAGTCCAAATACAGCAGGTCATGTGAACACAGAGGGTGATGAAGCACAAAGCCGCTAATCTGCAAAGATTAATGCACACTGACAAAGATCTAGACAACAGTCTCTGCCACAGTGTCTGCACCAGGATTATATAATGAGTGTAACAAAAGATGGATGTGGCTGTGTCATTCCAGCCGTAATCCAACCTCATCCCCTTTAAAAACCATTATAGGCACCAAACAGAGAGTAAGAGCTGCCAATGCAGCCGAGACAGATCTGACCTGATGTGGGTTTGTTACATAAGGAAAATAGTCCCTCTCTGTGGAGTGGATACAGGAAGAAACACCAACATGCACTTAATTAAAGGAAAAACCCAGCAGCAGGCAATGGCAGCACACTTTGTTATGTAATGAAGTGTACTCACATATATGTTTCCAGTCTTACTGACTCACCTGTAGGTCATACTGGGATCACTGGTGTCAGCATTTTATTCTTTACACACATGTTTGCAGCCCACTGCAGGGACACGTCCTCCATAACATCCACAGTCGGCCTCCTACTGACAAGCTGACAAATGTCCTACTGCTTAGCTCCCTCATAAGAATCTGACCTTTGACCTTTTGTCACAGGGCCTAAAAGCCTGACAGTGCACCTGCCTGCCACCCTGAAACCGACAGGACACACACACACACACACACAGCTGCAGAGTATCTGTGTCAACAGTCTCTTACTGAGCAGATGAATTTCCCTGAAACTGATCTGCTCGAAGGACCCTGAAGAATTTTAACTGTCTTGTAAAATATTCAAAGAGGGTTTTCCTTCAGAAAGCCGACACTGACCAAAAAACTCGCAGCATTTCACGCTGCCAACTGGAAAAACTTACAGGGGTCTGCATACATGCAGACGTATGCAGGGCATTATTGCTACCATGCCAGCATGCCCAGTGAGAGGGCTTATATGCAGCTTAGTGGCAAAAGCATCCCAGAAGCTGGCCGGTTACACCTGTGGAAGATGGTGGAGACAGCCCATCATTAAAG